TTGGTTTAAATCCTACTCTGCTTTCTGAACTGCCTTCCTTCCCGTCACCTGCATTCACCCTTTAACAGTTATTGTGCTAAGTACACATCTCAAAATGTTCCTCTTTAAAAGGTACACCTATTTCAAATGAAGCACTGTAGTCTCAACAGAGATTAATAATATTTTCCACTGATTTAGAATGGCTAGATACCAACGGAGATGAGGAAGGTAGAATTTTAAATAATACATATAGATCTGTTCAAAAAGTAGCCAGTGACCAGCTTCTCAGTTACATATTGCTCTCAGAAGTCCCTCCTGGTTGATTGGCTCCTAGTACAGGTAGTCCTTGACTTAACAAGAGTTCATTTGGTGACTGTTCAAAGTTACAATGGCATTGAAAAAAATGACATGATCATTTTTCACATTTACAACCCATGCAATATCCCCATGGTCACATGATCAAAATTCAGATGCTTGGCAACTGACTCATATTTATGACAGTTGCAGTGTCCTGGAGTCAAGTGATCAGTTTTTGTGACTTTCTGACGAGCAAAGTCAATGGGGAAGCCAGATTCACTTAACAACTATATTCCTAACTTAACTGCAATGATTCACTTAACAACTGTTGCAAGAAAGGTTGTAAAGTGGGCTAAATCTCACTGAACAAATGTTTCACTTAGCAACATAAATGTTGGGCTCAATTGTGGTCCTAACTCGAGGACTGTCTGTATATAAGTGAAAACATGTATTGCTTGCATTCATTTTGTTACCACCAATTGAAATAGCATTTTCCGTACTCTACAGCAAAGTCAAACCCTCCATGAACAGGATTTTCTCCTCCCCTTGCTCTGGCTCACTCAAAAGAAGCAGATTGGGGTTCAAAAATATGTTAACAGCCCAGAGAGGGCAGGCTAAGTGCAATTAATTCCATTTATACACTAAGTAACAACCCAGCCAGGTTGTTAAGATGACAGATGTCCAACTCAGAAAAGACTGAGATGTAACAGTTTGTTAGGAGACATCATTTGGACATCATCCAGACTAAACAAAAGAAGGGGGAAAGCAAATAGTAAGTATGGTTACTGACTGAGGGTTTCTTTGGCTGAACATATCTGAAACCTAAAATTCTGGATTTTCTCCATTGGATCCTTCTTAAAAATCAGGGTGTGATTGACATTAAATTGCTATGTAGGCTATTATCAACTTGATAAATAAATAAAAGATCTCTATCTGTCTCATCTATCGATAGTTCCTTCCTAACGCATGTCTGGTAAAAGGAAACACTTTCCTATGTATAATGAACTGCGATTTTTGAAGAAACAAAAATAGAAATTGTCTCTGCATCTATGGAGTACTTATGCACCATAATTACGGCATAGTAAACTTGAGGCAGCAGCAGTAAAAATACATCAACTATAAAATTTTACAGTCTCTTCAAGCTGAGTTGTGGTTACATATGGGTGCAGGAGCTGAAACAATATTAAGGCATTTTGATATATTTTGTTTAATTGGGGTATCTCTGCCATATTATTATGATGAGAACCCTAAAAGTCACTCCATGTCATGATAGAGATAGGAAACTGGTTTCTTTTGGGGGGGGATGTTCTTTTTATACTTTGTTTTTCTTTACATTTTTTTCTCTTTTTTCCCCTTTTCTTCTAGTTGTTACTTTTTCTTGCTCTATTTAAAAATATTTGTTTAAAAAAACATCCAAAGAGTCATTTCTGCTCTCTAAATAGGCTTTTTTCATATATAATGAATAAACCTGAAATATGTTTCCTGATGTAGACCAGCGGTCCCCAACCTTTCCGGCTTCACAGATCGGCAGCAGCAGTGGGCAGGGGGGGGAGGGGATGTTTTCGTGTGTGTGCTCATCACTTGCACAAATGGATCTTTGCCATTCACTGCTGCTTACGTGGTCCAATTCACAATGGGCCGTGAACCGGTACTGGTCCACAGCCCAAGGGTTGGGGACCCCTGATGTAGACCATTTGAAGGATTATGCATGCTTACTCTGAATCCTTTTGCAGATCCTTGGTTAAATTGACAGCTCACTCTTAAACAGAATTGAGAGATTCTATTACAGACAATTGGAATTTATGGCCCTACCTTCTTTCCAGATTTTATTAACGTTTCCTTGACCTCTGCAATGGAAAGTTCAGCTTATTTGGTTGAATGAGACAATATCTCACCAGTGTAAAGAGTATGGTTCCTGATTTGTAAAATAAAAATAAAACTGAATACTTTTTGAACTATCAACTTACATAAGCTGACGGTCAAGATGCCACACTATTCACACAAATCAAAGTAGGCAATATATATGAGGGGTGTATATGTATAAACTTATTTTGTTCTAGGTACCTTTGTGTCCTAAAATGTCTAACCAAACTGGTGGGCAGAAAAGTTTACAAAGGAAAAAATATATAATGATCCTTGAAGCAATGCTATATGACATTCAGAGATGACTCATGACAGTTGCATTGCATTTCACTCCCCTTTGGGGACTTCCTTAGATATTAAGTCTCTTTTTCAGATTCCAGTTCCAGCAAAACTTCTATGCAGCCTCAGAGTAAGAAGGAAGCTATACGTCTCCGTGTTAGAAAGATCGTTTAAAAAAAAAAAGTGGGTGTCTTTCACTTCACTTCATTAATTACTTTCATCCTACAGTCAGAAGAGCAGGAAGTAGACCTGCAAGCTTTCATTTTGGGAGTAGTCTGAGAGTAAAATAACACCTGGACTTTTTTTTTACTTCAAGAGAACGAAGTTGACTTTAGCACATTTTCTCAAAATCATTAAATGCAAAACAGTAATCATAACACATTAATCATACGTGGAAAAACAATTGAAATATTTCAGTCCCCCTGCCTTTGATGCATTTTACAGAATCTGTATGTCAGGGAGAAGGCTACAGCACAGTGGCAGAATGCCTATTTTGAATGCAAAGGTTGCAGGTCCAATCCATGAGAGACAGGGCTGGAAAAGCTTCTTGTCTGGCAACCAGGCTAGTCAGTGACAGACTGAGGTAAACTAAGCATGAAATAGAACTCACATTAAGAGAGGCTAAGTGCAAGAAGAGTTGCTGATTCTAGAATAATGGAGTACAAATTAAATTTAAAAAAGTGTGGTGGAACCACCTGGTGAAGGAGAGAAGGCCCCAATTGGGAAGAAGGGCAGGATTAAAAGACATTTCAGGTTACAGACTATAGGGGCAAGAAAACCTTTTAGGTCAAATCCTTAGGTCTAAATTTCCTAAGGGAAGGCAGACAGCCTGGCAAGATTCTCGTAAAGTGGTGATCAAAGAAACCTGTATGACCCATTCTTGGAGGTGTTCTGGTTGCTTGAACCTGACAAAAAGTGAGACTTTGTGTATCTAAAGTGTTCGAACAACTCTTGATCCTCAGTTCCAGAAATGAAATAACCAGACATTATTACTCTAAAAACCATTCTCTTACACACGTTATATTAAAAGACTGTAATTAAGATTGATTTTGAAATCAGACAGGTGAGAGGGGGACCTCAAGGATAAACTGCTTGAGAGTTAGAAAAAAAAATTAAGAGCTGTATCACTGCTAAAATCATCTGATGAAAATTTCAAACTTAATTAGTTAAAACTTTACTGATACAGTCAATATTCTTTCTTCAACCTCTAAGCTTTATGCCATATATTAGCAATGAAATACAGCCTGGCCCCTTTAATAAGCCAGAGAAATATCCTGATAATTTTATTTTAAAAAAGATGAAATTATCAACAAATTGGGTCAGAGAAAAAAATTGTTTTCTGCCTGGATGAAATACAGCAAATCCATCTAATTCAAAATGCTACTTTGAAAAATATTTTTACTAGACTTTGGTAGATGCAGTTGCTTGCAGAGAAATTTATTTTTTTAATGTTCTAAATTAACTATTTCCATCAAAACCCTCAAGGAGCTGGCTTCTGAGGACATCAGTGATTTATGACTACTTTCTCAGTGCTACTTAACATAGAAATGGATTTACACTACTCAATTGGTAAGGAAAACAAAGCAAAAAGGTAGAAAAGATTCAAGACAAATTTATACCCATATAAACCAGAGTAGAATTATATGATATAATATGTTTTGCATGAAGGAGCACATAAGTCCTGATTTGACTGGGAAACTGCTCAAATTTCCCCATGCTTATTTAGGAATTTAAGGTTAAGTACATAGGAAGGCAGCAGCCTCTTCCTCAATATTAAACTCAGACTGAACGACCATGCAGAAATTAGCTACTATTTATTAGTACTGTAAGAAAACAGCATATGATAAAGGATAGTTTACTTCTTCAGCTGAGTCTGTAGCATAAAATAGGCTTCTCGTTTCTTCCGAGGGGGCGGAGAGAGGCTAATCCCCATTGTAAAATGGTCTATATAGCGCATTAGTAAACTACATAGTCTAATAAATCCTCATTATAAAACCTTCCTAGCTCTGTTAAGCCCCTGCTAAATTACAAATCCTAGTCGGTCACCACCGAATTGTACGCCGGCAAGTTGGAGAAAAAAATCGTCTAACTTTCTCGAGCGTTTGTGCATTTACGAAATGGGGAATCTCTGGAGAGGTCCCCGTTGCACATCTGCCCCCCGACCAGGCCCGCGCGAGCTCCCCAAAAGTTGCTCGAAAGCTGGGAAACCCGTGAGGCACCTAACGGAAGCCGAGAGATCGGCTGTCCTCCGAAGAAAACTGCCCCCTCCCCGTGGGTCTTCCTGACCCTCTCCTCAGCCTCTTCGCTACTGCAACCATTTTCCTCACTCCCAAGCAAGCCGCTCCCCGCCCAGAGCAGCTTCTAGAGTTTGTCCGGAGCACTTTGCTAAGTGGCCGGGAGATCGCGCTTCCTTTCCCGGAGGCACAAAGGGGCAGCTTGGAAGGGCCGAAGCGGCTGCCCTCCCGACCTGCCCTCCTTCACATCCCGCCAACCTGACAGAAAGGACGGGCGGCGAAGGAAGCCAAAACGCCCCCGGCAGCCCCACCGCTGTTCCGAATCGTGGCTGGGACGGGCACACTCACCATCCTCCTTCTCGTCAAACACGGGTTTTTTGGAAGACGAGGAAGAGGTGCTGGCTCCCATCCTCTTCTTCCACTTGCTCCAGTGAAACATTGGCGGAGGAAGCGAATTGGCATCCCCTAAAAAGTCCCAGAGATCGGGGCGAGCCGGGCGCGGCGACGGCGGCAAAGCGGGAGAGCCGGAACCCCTTCAAGATGGATCTCGCGTGTTCGCGCGTTGGTGTGTAAACGGGTCTGAGTATCTCGTTCGGGCTCTACTCGCCCAGCTTTTGTCTCCACCGCTCGCTTGCTCTCTTGTCTCTCTCTCTGCCCGGCGCTGGAGAAGGCGGCTGCGGCTGGAGCTGCAGTTGCCAAAGACTTGCTTTGCTTTTGGGGGAACCCCTTCTTCTGCCTCCCCTCCCCAATTCTTATTCCCGTCGGTTACCCCTGTCTCTGAAAAGGGGGCCGGCGTACGAGAACCTCTTCCGAGGAGCCAGACCAAAAGCCACGGCGAGCGAGCAAGAAAAACCCAAAGCACGCTGGCTTCTCTTCCGTTCTCTCTCTCTCTCTCTCTCTCTCTTTCTCGCTCCCTTCCTCTCTTCCCAACCCCCCTCCAAGCTTTGGTCCACGCCAGACGAAGGCGAGCCCCGCTGGAGAAACCCGGCGTTTTCCTAAAGCGAGCTGGAAAAGCCAGGATTTGTAGAGGGGTGGCGGAGCGGGCGGGGGGGGCGGGCGTTTCAAGCTCGAAGACTCCGGAGCCGGCTGTCTTAAAGCGAACGCGACTCGTAGCGCCTCCGTCCGTGGCTAGATGGCGCTCGAGGTGCGCGAACGCGGGGCTTTACCTTTAACCTTCTGAGATCATCGAGATGCTGCTTGTTGGGGAAAGGGAGGCGACGTTCTATTTCGCGAAAGGGGCTTCCGACCGCTTTCGGGTTGTGTTGGTCCTAGAGCAGACGCTCAGCATGACAAATTATATACGCATTAACGCAGCAACAAAAGGAAGGGGAGCTGTCTCAACTATTATTAATGATTCTTTGTTCTCCTGTAAGGATATCGTGGCTATTGCTGACCCCCGCTGTATTAGGAGCCCCATTTATTTTGTGGACTACTTTAAAAGCAAGGATCTTAGATAACGTTGTCCGGAAATAATATGCCTCTAAACACCAGGTCGCCGGAGAGCATAAGGATGATGCTGCAAAGCCATTTTTGTCTCACTCTTCGACACTGTTACTTGGCTGGTCGTTGTAAAAACAGACTATTGGATGAGGCGGCCCTTTTGTTCTGATCCAGGGTCTGATTCATAATGTGACTGATGTAAAAAGTTGTTATTGTTCTTGTTATTAATAAAATATAAGGTGTATTTTCAATAGTATGGTTGCTGTTAATAATTTGGAGGGAAACTATTTGAATTTATTTGACTCATTCTATTTTATTGTACAGGTAGTCCTCAACTTCCCAGTTGCAATGTATGGCTGTGAAAGTTGGACCATAAGAAAGGCTGAGCGTAAAAGAATTGAGGCCTTTGAACTATGGTGCTGGAGAAGACTCCTGCGAGTCCCTTGGACTGCAAGGCGTTCAAACCGGTCAGTCCTAGAAGAGATCAACCCCGACTGCTCTTTAGAAGGCCAGATCCTGAAGTTGAAACTCAAATACTTTGGCCACCTAATGAGAAGGAAGGACTCACTGGAGAAGGGCCTAATGCTGGGAAAGATTGAGGGCAATAGAAGAAGGGGACGACAGAGAATGAGATGGCTGGATGGAGTCACTGAAGCAGTAGGTGTGAACTTAAATGGACTCCAGAAGATGGTAGAGGACAGGAAGACCTGGAGGAACATTGTCCATGGGGTCGCGATGGGTCGGACATGATTTCGCAATTAACAACAACAAAGTCCTCAACTTACAACCATTCTCTTGGTGACAGTTTGAAGTTACAACAGCACTGAAAAAAGTGACTTATAACCATTTTTCACACTCATGATCGTTGAAGCATTGCTTTGATCATGTGATTTACATTTGGATGCTTGACAACTGATTCACATTTATGACAGTTACAGTGTCCTAGGGTCATGTGATCACCTTTTGCAAACTTCTGACAAAGAATGGGGAAGCCTAATTCACTTAACAACCGGGTTACTAATTTAACAACTGCAGTGATTCTTGAAAGCAAAACTAAAATACAGATAATCCTCAACTTATGACAGTTGAGTCCCAAAATTATATTACTTAACAAATGTGGCAAGAAAAATCGTAAAATCGGGCAACACTCACTTCACAAATTTCTTGCTTACCAACATAATTCTTGGGTTCAATTGTAAGTTATATTTTAGCTTTGTCTTCAAGTCAGTCTTCACTCCTTGTAATTGCCTGGCTGTTTTCTTGGGAAGATTTTCAGAAATAGCTTATGCCTGCATTTTTCCTAGGGCTGAGAGAGAGGGACTGGCTCAAAATCCCCCAGCTGGCTTCCTGCCTAAGGAAGAACTTGGACTCACAGTCTGATCAAGCTTTTGGATAAGAGTCTTTGAGCCTCAATGGGCTTTTCCAGTCAATTGAAAATGCTACATTTTCCAAACAGCTATTATAAGCAACTGAAAGTGACAGGTAATCTGACCAGGTATATTATCCTGATGAATTGCTCTCCAAATACAGTATGGTGGTCTTGGTAGCATGGGTAGCCGCATATTTTTTGTATATTTTTTTACCAGAAAGTCACATTATGTATAGACTTTGCTAGTCTCAAAAGAAATATTCAAATATTGTGTGCAATAATACAATCAATGACAATTACAGAATATTCAGCAGATCATTTTACAGATTAATAATAATAATAAAGTTGGAAGAGACCTGGGAGGCCATCTAGTCCAACCCCTTCCTCAGGCAGGAAACCCTATACCATTTCGGACAAATGACTGTTCAGTCTCTTCTTAAAAACTTTCAGTATTGGAGCATTCACAGCTTCTAGAGGCAGGTTGTTCCTCTGATTAATTGTTCTGTCACGAAATTTCTCCTTAGTTCTAGGTTGCTTCTCTCTTTAGTTAGTTTCCATCCGCTGTTTCTTGTCCTGCCTTCAGGTGCTTGGGAAAATAGCTTGACTCCCTCTTCTTTGTGGCAGCCCCTGAGATATTGGAACACTGCTATCATGTCCCCCCTCGTCCTTCTCTTCATTAAACTAGACATACCCAATTCCAGCAACCTTTCCTTATATGTTTTAGCCTCCAGTCCCCTAATCATCTTTGTTGCTCTTCTCTGTACTCTTTCTAGAGTGTCAACATCTTTTTTACATTGTGGTGACCAAAACTGGATGCAGTATTCCAAGTGTGGTCTTACCAAGGCATTGTAAAGTTGTATTAACACGTGATCTTGCTTCTTGAGTTGTTTTCCCCTTGAGGATTCTTATCCATGGAATCCTTCCAAAGCTCTCTCTAAGTTTATTGAAATTAGCTCTCTTAAAGTCTAAGACTCTAGTTCGACTGTGTTCTGTTGCTTGTACTTGTATAATGTTGAATTCCAATAAGAATAAGATTAAGAATAAAGAGTATTGCAGAGCTGTGGTTGAAAATTCTAATAACCTAATGACAGATCGAATAAAAATTGGTCTGTATATCTCTGCCACCAGGCTAATTCTAAATAAATTTACTGAAAAGCAATGCTCCAGACTTTAAAAGTGCAAACGATTGTAGCCTTAAAACATTTATTAAGTTAGGTCAACTTCTATACCATTAGCACTTCAACAAAAGTGTGAAATTATTAATACAATAAATTCTACAGGGAAAGTTATATTCCTTTGTTGCAGCAATAACACCCAAAATCTATTTGGCTTTCTAAAGTAGCAACAAATTCATTGCAGGTCAAGATTTAAAAAGAGCTTCTGACTAGCATGGCTGGCTCAGGAATTCTGGGAGTTGAAGTCCACAAGTCATAAAAGAGCCAAGGTTGCCTACCCCTGGACTAGAACAACAGTAATTAAAGATAATGCTATATGTCTTATAATCCTCAAACTAAGTTAACATTCACTGTGTGAAAGAAAGACAAAATTCAGGAATAGATTGGTTTATACAATACACAGAATCATAATACAATTTATTGAAAATACTACAAAAAGCTTTTATTCTAAAGACATATTAGCATTCCTTCAGTTCAAGCATACAAAGATTGTACTGCTAAAAACCTCAAATTTCTATTGTATATAAAAATAGCGTTTCATGAATGTATAGTTTTTTTGATAAAAACTAATATAGTTGATTTAGGTTTATCAGGAAATGCATTTCTTCAGTGGTTTGGGCAGAAGCTGTAAAGTTATCAAGGATTTTCTTCCCATTAAAGTTAGCAAAGCTATGTTATTAGACCTTGGTTTCATTGTGAAGAGAGACAGCTGGCAATCCTCTAGTGTTTGCAGTTGAATTCTAGTTGGCAGAGGGAATCCAGCGGATTTCAGATATGATGACTATTCATTTCTTTGTGACCACATTACACATTGCTGGAGGGAATGAGATTTCAGCTTGGCAGAATGAGTTGCTTTAATTGGTTACTCCCTAGCAATATGCCAAGAGCATTCCTATTTTTGTTCCTGAGGAGCTGCCGTATAAGATTTTAAGAAGTTTGAGATTTGAGAGAGTGAATAAAAAGTGCCAGTTAGAGAAGACTGGCAGAGAGTAGGCAGTCCAATATTTTCCCATAACATTCATTCAATGACAGTTTGAGTCCAGAAAGTGAGGAAAAGGGGCTTTTATTGCTTTCTAGCCCAGGATGGTAGGCAAAGCAGAGTTAAAAGTCTCTAAATCAGTCCTACCATGATCATAGTAATAGTTATCATCAGTGCTTTTTTTGTAAAAAAAAAAAAAAAGTGCCGGAACTCACACACATCATACAACCCGCCTTGCCTACCCTACAAGATTCCATCCAGAAAAGGTGCCGGAACTCTGTTCTGGGCGTTCTATGACAAAAAAAGCCCTGGTTATCATAATCATGATTTCACTGGCCTTCATCATAATTCGATGTTCCACTCCATCTATACCAACTGGTTTATATAAAAAACATGGAAATAAAGTCTGTATTGACATTTTCTCCTTTTCTCTGATATATATTTGAAGTCCTATTGATAAAGCATGAAAAAAGGATTATAACTATAATGATAAATTGTGATAAAAGTAGAAATCTGTGAGTCAGGGTGAACTCTGGTGCCTTCATGAACATAATTACGTAACAGAAGTGGTTGACACATTGAGTTCTCCTTCTCCTTTTGCCTTTCCCCCCTCCCCTTCTCCCTCCCTCCCCTCCCCCCCACCCAATGTTCCCTGATGGTTTTCTCAAAATATCAGCAAGATCTGAACCAATTGGGTCTCCAAACCTGAATCAGATTGATTCTACCCTCCACCTTCCTTGCTGAGGAAGTGGCAATAATAATAAAATAATAAAATCATATAAAAAGTCCTCTTTTTACCCTTGGGAATCTATTGTAGATTAGACTGATTATTTCTAATTTTGACCTTGTGTGACTGCATTCAGACATGGGTGGGTAATTTATGCTTTCAAAGTAAATAACAATATTTAGCATATTCTCTGCATTTAGTTACAGTTAGCTATTTGCATTTTGCCATTTAATAGGATGGAGATGCATATGATGGCCTATTTTATTAAAGTCTAAATGTAACATTCAGACAATTTCAATATTCTTTTTGGCAGAGAATGCTGAAAATCTATTTTCTCTGGTATACTGAATGACTCTTCAAATTATGCCTCTTCACTAAAAAGCTCATATTTTCCGTGAATGTTCATCCTAAATTTAGTAATACATTTAATTCAGTGGTATCCGTGTGACATTTCAAAAAAGAACATCTATGGATAGGTTAATGATAAGTTAGTGAAACTGAATAGATCCAAAATCATTGTATGTTAAATTTATTTGCTACCCATTTTGCTATGGGGCTACTCTGGACATCTTACAAACAGTAAAATGGAAAAAATAATAAATGTAAGTGCAACAATGGTAAAATAATGAAATAATAAAAATAAACAAGGAAAGTAAAATTATATGAAATAAAAGATGGGCAGAGGGGGAGCAGAAAGCATAAAGCAGGGGTGTCAAACTGCCGGCCCGCGGGCCAGATGCATCATCCGGAAGCCGCACCCACCCCATTGCCGGCAATGGCAAAACCATCCCGATACGTTGCGCAATGTCACATGACATCACGAGTTTGACGTGTCTGGGATATAGGATCAACTGATTAGTCCAGTAGTCACCTCCAATGTGGTACTCCCCTATTCGGTCCCCAGGCCAACTGGCAGAGCCAAGTCTTCAAGACCTTGCAAAAGATTAGGAGAGTAGGGGCAAATCTCACCCAGGAGGGCAGCATGTTGCAAGGAGGACAGTGCTACATCAGAGAAGTTGTTTTTTTTTTCCTAGATTCCACCAACCAGTGTTCTTTAACAGACAAGATCCGGAGAAGATCTCCTCTGGCAGCATGAGCTTGTTTTAGCAGGAAGAGACAGTTCACTAAGTAATCTGGACCCATGCCATGGAGGTTTTTAAAAGTTGTAATCAACACCCTGAACTGCATCCAGAAGCAAATTCGCAGTCAGCAGTGGTGTATCATGAGCCATTCTACGGGTTCCAAAGACTGCTTATGCTGCCTCACTTTGTACTAGTTGAAGTTTCTGAATGCATTTCAAGAGTAGCCCCATGTAAAGTGTATTGCAGTAATCCAAATGACAGATGACTAGGGCTTGAATGACCAAGAATGGGAAGTCCTGATCCGGGAAAGCCTGCAGCTGGTGCACAAACGAAAGCTGTGCAAAAGGTCTCCTGGCCACAAGCACCACCTTCAAGCAGATTGCAAGTCCAGGAAAATCCTTAATTTGCAAACTGGGTCAGAACAGGATAGTACAACCCCATACAGAACTAAAGATGTCAAAGACATGGATCTTGAAGCTCCGTCATCCAAAGCCACTTGGTCTTGCCAGGGTTCAGTTGTAGCCTGTTTTATTAGTGATTACTTATATTGTTCTGTCCCCCCAAAACCTCACAGAGTTTATGCATAGGGTTTATATTGGGGGATGAAGTAGGATCTTCCAAATGACTGCTCAAAAGAGGCAGTAGCAAACAGATTCACCTCCAAGAATGCAAGAGGCTCAGCCTTCAGAGGCATCTATTCTGAACTAAGATGATGCAAAAAGATACAAGCTCTGCCCCTTTGTACATGCATTTCAAGACCACAGAGAAGCTGTCAAAGAGAATTTGTGTTGCAGTTCTGCAACATACATTTCATCATTTGCTTCTCCCCGATTAGTGGATACCCATGCCTACATATGATATAATTAGCACAAACATCATATGTCACATTTTAGAAACATTTTATTGAGAGCAACCAGACTGGCGGATACCTGGTTTCGAATAGTCATGTTACATTTTTTCCTTTTAAAAGATATTCTTCTTTTCTATAACAAAACAATGCTTATTCAATGTTATCTGGCAGAAACAAGTACAGTTTTAATCTCAGAGTAATTATAGAATGCCATGTTATCATAAGTTAAAATGTAAAACTACACATTCAGAATTATTTGGGAGGGAGTTGTTTCTGTTGTTATTCTGCAATATAAAAGCAATTACGAAACACGGAAAAGTTAGCTGTTTACTTCACAACTGAATAAACACATGGCAATTTGACCTTGATTATGTTCTAAAAACATACAACTATGTTCTAATACAGATAGTCCTCAACTTATAACAGTTTGTTTAGTTACTGTTCAAAGTTACAACGGCACTGAAAAAAGTGACTTATGACCATTTTTCACAGTTACGACCTTTGCAGCATCCCCATAATCATGTGATCAAAACTCAGAGGCTTGGCAACTGACTCATACTTATGACTGTTGCTGTGTCCCAAAGTCATGTGATCACCTTTTGTGAACTTCTGACAAGCAAAGTCAATGGGGAAGCCAGATTCATTTAACAACCGGGTTGCTAACTTATCAACTATAGTGATTCACTTAACAGCTGTGGCAAAAAATTCGTAAAATGGAGCAAAACTCACTTAACAAATGTCTCACTTAACAATAGAAATTTTGGGCTCCATTGTGGTCGTAAGTCAAGGACTGCCTGTATTATCCAACTGCTTCGCTACTTGAAAGGGGGAGTGTTCTTATTATTACCTTATCAGACCGCTTTAAAAAGGTATCAGACTTGTGATTTCTGTTCAAATCCTGTGAAAACTGTGAAACTCTTTATTCAGGTAGACTGAGGGTGCCCATGGAGAGCCAATTAAATATGCCAATGGGGTAGTCCTTACCCAGGAAATGAAATCACAGGCAGGGCACTTTCAAGGGCAAAGCAATGGCCAGTTTTAGTACAGGTAGTCTCAACTTATGACCACAATTGCTGTTAAGTGAGACATTTTTTAAATGAGTTCTGCCCTATTTTACTACTTTTCTTTCCACAGCTGTTAAGTGATCCACTGCTGTCAATATGTTAGCAACCCGATTATTAAGTGAATGTTTTTCCCCATTGACTGCTTGTCAGAAGGTTGCAAAAGGGGATCATGTGACCCCGGGACACAGCAAAGATCATAAATACGAACCAGTGGCCAAGCCTCTGAATTTTGATCACATGATCGTGGAGATGCTGCAAAGGTCATAACTATGAAAAATGGTCTTAAGTCACATTTTTCAAGGCCGTTGTAACTTGGAACAGTCAGTAAACAGACTTGCAAGTCGAGGACAACAGTATTTTAAAGAACAGCTGATACCAAAATAAGCCTCACAATGTGTTGTGAGGGCTTATCCTAAGAAGAACGGGAGGCGAGGATTCGAGGGTGATTGTTGCCTATTCAAATAAAAAAGCATGCAGGCTCTAGTAAATGCCGTGGGCTGCTTTTGAAGTTGCCAAAAACTGCCTTTTTCAGTTTCCATTATTTTAAACTTGTGCCTAAAATAAAGCCCAGCGCGGGAGGAAGAGGGTGAAAGCTGAGGTTATGAAGAGGCAGTACTAGAGGGGCCGAGGCGAGACGCGGGAGTGACAGACGGTGGGCGTGACTGGGAAGAGGATCTAAAAGGGGGGGAGCAGCTGTCTGCGCCTGCTTCCCTCTCCCACCTGTTCCCCCCCTCCCCTTCTGCGCTATTTTCCTCGCGTGGCGAGCAAGCGAGGAATCCCGTGCAAAATGCAAAAGCCACCGGAGACCCCCAATCTCTCTCCGCGGCAGCAGAAATAGCCCCTCGCTCCCTCCCTCCCGGAGCCGGCGAGGAAAGAGGCGGCCTCCTCCGGCGCTTCCCAGCAGCTTGAGGGTTACTATGGCGACCCCGGCAGCTGCTCCTTGAGGCCTGTTTGTTGCCTTTTGGTCACGACATAAAGCAAGAAAAGGCGGGCGCCAATTATATGCCGGGGCTGGGAGGCGAGGGTGCGGCAGAAGGGAGCTACAGAGGAGTAGGCCTCCCCAGGGCAGCTGTCCGTTCCTCTCACCACTCCGCGGAGTAAGTTGTGAGAAAGGAGGAGGTGGAGGAGATGGGGATGGGAGGAGGAATGGAGGTTTAAGGCGGCTAGAAAGCGCAGGCGAAATCTCAGGGCGTCGGGAAAAACGATGTGCTGCCTTATTGTACCTCGACACGAATGTAAAGCATAAACCAAAACGGATGCTAAAGATCAGAAAGCCAACGAAAAAAGGATTAGCTCTTTTTTTTTTCTCCTCCGGGGTCTGTCATCGACGCCGGGGGAGCTTCACTGGATAGGGTTATGTCCAACCTGGGAGTAACTTAACAAAAAGAAAAGTGATTTACCTCACGGAAGATTTCATTTGGCGACTGCAAAAGAGTCGGCTGGCAAGAGTCGTGCAGAATTAATTGGTTTGCCTTGCTGGGTGGCAGGGAGAGGGCTTGAGGTCCCGTCCAGATTCCTGAGGCCTGTTTGTTGACTTTGAGATAAAGAAAAGGTGACAGGAAGCAGGTGATTTAGGACAGAAATTCAGGCCAAGCACATTGATTGCCAAGTAATTGTGGCTGGCATGGTGCATATACGCATGCAGAGTAGTATATGCACCTTCAACTTTCTTGTCAAAATTTCAGAATTGACTTGCCATTGTCTCCTTCTTAGGGCTGAGAATGATTGGCTCAAGGTCACCCAGTTGACTTGTGCCTAAACTAGGGCTAGAACATACGGTCTCCGGAGTTTCTAGCATGATGTCCTAACCATTACATCAAACTGGCTAAATGTACATGATGACATATAACTGATTGCGTAAAAGCAAAGAGGCCAACAGTAATAATAAAAAGAGCAACTTTAGAATTCAAGTCTGGCAGGCCTTTTTTTCTGATAGTATTGAAATGAACAAAAAAAGAGACAGTTGGGTCTAATGGTGAAGGCCCCAGACTAAAAACCTGGAGTCTTAGATTCTAGTCTTGTTTTAGACATGAAAGCAAAGTCACCCAGTGTCAATTTACAATGTCAAGCTCAATTAACAAGCCAGTCAGACAATTCTTGTCACAACCAATGGATCAACACTGTGCATCTGAAAAAAAAGAACCTCCTCCTGTGGGAAGATGATAAGAAGAAAAAAGATCAAATCAACAAAAACATACTATAACTTTGGATATCTCACTGATCTTGAAAGTAAGGGATGTTTGATGCTGATGTTGCTGTACAAGAGTTTATAATTTGCCATCATTCCCAATCCCTCTGACTTCTGAGTAAATATTTTCAGAAATGAGAAGCCAAGATTGTACGTATCTTTTTACCCTAGCATTCCTAGATATAATCCTGTAAACTGTGTAGTATAATCCAATTAAATTGGCAATCTCCAAATATTTCAGATGATGAATAATACAGATTTTACAGATTAGTATCCTAGGATAAAAATGCATAAACTAACAAACAGACTATAGCAGGAGGTTTCCTATGCATCATTAGAAGGAAAATTGATGAGAATTTATCTTTTAAACTTCTAACATCCCATTGCTTGTACTGTGAGTGAAATCAGCAAAAAAAAAAAGTAAATTAAATGACTGAGGTAAGGAATTTTATTATAGAACATGCACGATAGCAAAAAGACGCTTTGAGTGGGTGGAATGAAGAAAAAGTTACGGTTCTGTGATGGAAGCCCTTGGAAAACAGCAGTGCTGTTATGAAGTGAGAGTTCTGAAGTAGAGACTAAAAGAAATAATTACATGGATGGCAAGAAGACTACAGATAGTCCTTATTTAGTGACTGCCTTCTACACTGACTGTTCGAAATTATGATGCTGATGAAAAAGTAATGTGACTAATCCTGACATTTATGACCTTAGCAGGTCTGTAAAGCAAATGAAAACTGAAAGAAGATCATAAAAATAATCACAGTTTCAGTTACCACTTGGTTAATTACTGAGTTGCTGGTCCCAATTGTAGCCACTAAACAAGGACTATCTATAGTATATACCATAAAAGATAAGCTAGAGAGAAAAAAACTATTGTTGCCTTAAAAATGAAGAGTTCTGTTGAAGTCAAATTGTGTTATTTTCTATTGAAGTTTGGGTCTGAAACTAGAACTAAATTTGTGACTGTCAGTCTCAGTTTAGATACTTCTATTGGGAAAACAATGATTATTAATTTGATTAGGCATCACCAAGTTGTTGAGTCTTAGCAACCAGGATGGCAGATTTTCTCCATGATCTTTCAGGTCTTCCAATGGTGCCCTCATTGCCACTGTAACTGAGTCCATCTATCTTGGCTGTTTGTCATTTTCTCTTTTCTTCCTACTTCTTCCAGCATTAGAACCTTCTCTGAAGAGCAAGTTCTTTGCATAATATACCCAAAGTAGATAATTTGTGAGTGTCATTTGTTCCTCAAAGGAGACCTCTGATTGGATTCATTGAATAGATCCATTTGTGTATTTTCTTGGCTGTCCATGGTATTCTCAGGAGCCTTATCCAACATCATTGTAGCATTCCTGCAGTCTCATGAATAAAATTGGCCCACCTGCATTGGTGACTGTCTTTTGGCTGTCTGACTACCTATTACTACCTACTGCTGCCAGCTGCCCCCATCACTTAGCCCTGCCCCGTTGTACCAAAGGAAGCCTTCTTTCATGCCCTCTTTATCTTGCGCTGGTACAGCTGGGGCCTTCTCTTGCAAGCTGTTCGGGGCTTCCATTTGTGTGTTGACTAAAGCCTCTATTCACATCCTCTCCAGGGCCCCTGTTCACATACCAGCCAGGACCTTCTTTCACATGCCAGTGCAAAAGAAGGCCCCAATTAGAAGGAGGCACTGGCCAGTGTGTAAAGGCCCTAAGGGGTGCAGAAGCCCTAGCTGGCGATTGAGACAAGCCAGCACAAGAGGGAAGGTCCCAGTTGCACTTGTGAAAGAAGGGCCTAGTCAGTCTAGTAGTTACATGCAATGAGATAGCGGGGAAGGCTGGGCAGCAGGAGACAAATTGGTGGGTAGCCAAAAGGGCAGAGATGGAGCAGAGATAGGTGTATGGAATGTGTGCATTTTTTTCAAGCATGGCTTGGATCCAGGAGGTCCTCGCCTAACAACCACATGGGATTCATTCAACAGCAGCAATTGGGATTGATAGAACTGCTATCGCTAAGCAGAATGGTCACATGACATTTCACTTAAAGACTGTCACCTAATATGGAGTTGCTGATCCCAATTAGAGTTGTTAAATGAGGACTATTTGTACCTCATGACATTAAAATGACATGGCATTTGTAGTTCAGTACTATAAAATGTGCAGTGTCACAGATGTAAAAAAATAATTCTCAAAACCCCAAGTCATGTTGTGGCAGAGGTGTGGAGACACAAAGGAATGTATGGAAGGCATCAGAAAATGGAGAGAATATCCATTAATACTATTAGCTCCCAGCATTGTCTTGTTGTTTACTTTGATATGTTATCCTTTGTGAATGAAAATGAAAGAATGCTAGCAAGCTTTGTTGGCATTTGATTTCTATGGCAGTAACTTATGTACTTTGCAGTCTACTAAACATAAGGATCAGTGGGGTGTAGATAGTTACACAATTACGTGTGACCCCTGTTTGTCTTTTGTTCTATCTAGTTTTTGTATAAGAGGTAATTAATTTCTGGCCTTTTCTTCTTGCCTTTGCTCTATAGGCATCCATACAAGCAAACATTCTTTTGTCATTCTTGTTGACTCTCTTCCTAGTAGGGTGTAGCTAGCAAAATGCTAGGTGCTACAAAACCTCATGTTTTACTCTGGTTGAACCTTCGTATTACAAAATCTCATTTTTACTTTGGTTGAATCTTTGTACTAAAATTAAGAAACATGTTCACTAATTCTTGCTCAAGTTAGATTTTACTGATTCCATGTTTAGGAGCACAAAATATTTCCCTTCAAATAGGATCTAGTAGCCAGAGTGGGCCTGAGGATCCAACTGAAAAGAATGTTAGTTTGGTCAGGTTTATTAGCATGTACCTGTGCTTTTGCCAGTTACAGTAATGAAGCCTGAAACAAATGCTATCTATTTATATAAGGCATACAACCTAAAACTTAAAAAGGGGGAAAAGACAGCACTGCCCTTTAATTTTTTGGCAACTAATTTGTAAACCCCACAAATAATCCAAATGAGATTATAAAGGGATTTTTTTTGTGTGTTTTGTTGTGAAGTGCTAGTGATATTAGCAATTTTGGAAAGCAATTCTTATCAGCGTTCAGTTCTCCAATATTCTAGCATTATAACTAACACAATTGTGAAGTAAAACCATTTATTTAAGAAAAAGTTATTCTGCTAATGTTAAATCTATTTAGAAACCATATTTATGTTGTTGATTTACACATATCCATTTTGTTAGTTTTCAGTTTATTATCTTTGAATTACAGAGCTGCTAGACTTCTGGCTTAATCAAAGTTAATTAACAAATGGAAGAAAAGTGGTATTATACAGAAAACAATGGCAGTGGAGATAACTGTCAAAATATTCAAAGGAGGAACGATTCAGTTTCTAGTTCATCAAGGCGCATCCACCGAGCTCTCGAAAAACTTGTATCTAATTCAGCAGTCTCTTTGGATCTGAGTCGAAAAGATCTACAGCATCTTACTTCAGAAATATACAGATTATTTAATCTCAGAGTAAGTCTTTCACTATTGACATACCTAATTAAAGGATAACTGAAAAAATATGTTTTCCCACTTGAGATGTTGCAGTATATACAAATTGCATTTTAAGATAACTGTATATTCTTGATAATCCTTTAAAAATTACTTGAATAATTTTAGCACTTTTTATCATTTTGTGGGAAATTACTACTTTCAAATTATATGTTAAGCAATACAATCTCATAGGGTACTCATCTGTTTCTCTCTGTCTCTCTCTCTCTCCCCCCCTTCCTCTCCCTCTCTCTCTCCCCTTTAGTATTTACATCTGGAAGGAAATGCCCTTTCTGTAATTCCTGAAGATTTTTTTCAGAGCCTGTCAAATCTTACTTGGCTAGATCTGCGCTATAATAAATTGAAAGAGCTTCCTTCTGGGATTGGATGCCACAAGTAAGTTTTCTGCTATATAAATATGTCCACTGTTTTTTAAAAAGGAATTTGTTCAGTAGTAGATATCATGTAACTATGATTCAACAAATTGAGTAGTAGTACCATGTATGATTAAATATTAACACTAATGTATCATCACAAGAACAAATAAAGGCACTCTTTAACTTACAATAGCTCATTCAGTGATTGTTCAAAGTTACAACAGCACTGAAAAAAATGATGACTGTTTTTCACACTTACAACCGTTGTAGCATCTCCATGGTCACGTGATCAAAATTCAGGTGTTGGCAATTGGTTCTTATTTATGACAGTTGCAGGGTCCCAGGGTCATGTGATCACCTTTTGCAACCTTCTGACAAGCAAAGTCAATGAGGAAGCCAAATTCATTTAACAAACATGTTACTAACTTAGCAGCTGCAGTGATTCACTTAACAAATGTGGCGAGAAAAGATCGTAAAATGGGGCAAAATTCACTTAACAAATGTCTCGCTTAGCAACAGAAATGTTGGTCTCAATGGTGGTTGTAAGTCAAGAACTACCTGTATTGGAAATACTTTTGCAATGTAGGGACTTCATTTTTTAGAATTCTTAACAGTGGCCCTGATGGTTGGAGAATTCTGGCCATTGAAATCCACACATTGTAAAGTTGCCCAGATTGGGAAGCACCGTTATAACTCTACCCTTCAGCGATTCTTTGTCCTTAGAATAGCTTGGCTGACATTAGGAAATGCTACACCCCCACCCCCATTTATGAAAGACAGATGAAATTAAAAAGCTCCAACGTTTCTTCTCCATTGCTTTGACAAAATTGTTGCCCTTTAGGCTGACTTCTCATCTGAGAGAGGCCCTATGTTATCAGTGTCACTAGTGAAGTGTGGGGCAACTAATAATAACAACCAGATTAATTCTTATATAGGAGATTGGTACAGAGCCTTGATTTGAGTTGTTGTTTTTTTTAAATATGGGTATATTTTTCATGATAAATATATAAGCAGGCTTTTCAGAATAATGTATATACAGTAATATATAGTTTTAAATAAATTTAAGGATGGGAACAGATGTTGTTTTTTATTCAAGTGTATGCCAACTTCTAGAAAGAAAGTGAGATCTTATTTTACATCAAAAGAAGTGGATAAAGCGAGGAAAACTGACTCCTTTCTAAAATCTTGGCACATCTTCTTTCCATATTCAGCCAGGCAGAGATATCCCACAATGAACCATCATGGACAACCTTAAGAGTCATAGTGGATATTTTTGTGAAGGCTGATGGCTCATTACTTTATGAAATTGCTCAGTTTCTGAAGCATGTGTTGGGCTTGCTGGTTTCTTCTGAAATAATTCAGTATTTAGGAAGCTTCTGGTTACTATTCCGGCACTGCAAATCTGAGTTTTGACCCAAACAGTGCCATTGCTGCTTTTAAAGTAATGTTGATTTTATCTTGGGAAACAAAATCACTAGATTGCCCAGTTGTGCTAAGAGCAATCCCATGACATATTCTATCCCTCATCTTCAGAAAACATTTGTGGGCAATTGAAGTGAATTCTAATAGGTCATGACACTTCCCTACAAACACTTCATTTTGGGGGGCTATGATAATAGGCTGCAGAAAACACGGGTCTACAGTGAGCTTTCTTCACTTACATTGTTTCTATTTTTTCCGAGTTGACATATTAATACTATATGTGAAGAAAGTAGAGTGAATCTGTTTGTTGTGCCTTTTTTGCATTTATTATCAGTTTGCAAAGGAATATATGTTTGAAATAGCTCTTAATGATAGAGAAAAGCTAATTTCAAAGTATGCTCCCTCAATATGTACAGCAGAGTTTGATGATGGTGATGTATTTTAATGCACTAAATATAAAAAATAGCCTTTTGAAAAGTCAGTCTATCGCTGATGTGACTACATATGTTTTCAAACTCAACGTATATATATGAAGAAATATATAATTTTTCTTATAGAAAGCATCTCCATCCTATTGGGCCCTGACGTGGGGTAGAAATTGATAAACAGTATTCTTATACAAGTACATATAATGCATCATAATTCATTAGGCCATTTAGATTCTTTCAGGAATCTACTTTTTCATTAAAGTAGTATAAGAATATATACATTAATCATTTCTTAGTTTCTTGACTAATCATATTTGTCATTATGTATTTAAATATTATTTTCTTATTTATTGAAAAGGCAGCTGAAAACTCTCCTGTTAGAGAAAAATCCTATTAAAAGGCTACCAGTGGAGCTTGGTAAGTATTCTGTCCCCTCAATACTATCTAGCTGAACTTAGCATACAAATATTCCTTTCAATCCTCTCAGGTAAGCAGCATGAGAGGTCAGAAAAATAGTTAGAACAAATGGCATGAATGACATGAGTTAAGAGAAAAGGAAAGAAAAGGAACAGAAATATAGCATGATCTAGTTTACAAACACACTAACTATATCTTTCTATCCTTGCAAATCATTCTTGTTTTATCATATTCTTATACTACTTCATATATTGCTTTTTCTTTTTCAGACTTCTGACATTTTTCTTTCTGAGCATCTCATCAGTTCCATCCAGTCACAGATTTCTTGGCCTTTCTTTCTTCTTAACTATTCTTTTAAATATTTGTTTTACACTTTTATCTTCATTCATTTTAGCATTCAGTTCATTTTTGTTCCTATCCCTTCTTATTTCGTTTTCTTTTTTTGTCACAATGTTTTCCCCAAGTTAATTTTTTATTGTATTATAAAATGTGAATAATATAGAGTGGAGATAACATTTTGTTTATTCAAATGAAATTAAAAATAGTTACCACTGTGATGATTTAGATAAATTAAATGTATAAACCTGAAGAAAAAAAGGTTATCTCAATGTTAAATATTTTCTAAAAGGTAATAATAAGGTTGCTTAAATTGTACAGTGATATTGATAAACAGTTTTAAAAAGCACTGAGTTATTTTATAAAAAGAAAAAAATATAAAGGAAAAAAATAATCTTTAGACTTAATTAGACATCACAGGACCCACTGGGTTCTCATTTCAGAGATATTTCCTTGCCAGAGTCCTCAATGTCTTCAACAAAGGCAGAGCTCCCAATGTACTGGAAAAGTTCTTAAAATATCAGGGTGATATTCAGAGATGTGTCTGTCTTGAAAGTAGCCCCTGTTGAACTCTATAGTGCAGTTAAACATCAGCAACTGACCACAGAAAATGTTTTATAACGTTTTGTATAATGCTATAAAATCCTTTATGGCATTGTTTATGTCATAAAAGCGCAGAGGGCTGGTGGCAAGTAAGAGGCGGGAGAGACCTATTCCAGTGACTTGGACCATCTGTGTTGGGTTGGTTGTAAGTGCAGACAGATTACCAAATACACAGATCATGATTGCGGGGATGCTGGGATGGCCAGAACTCTGAAGACCAGTTATAAACCCAGTTCATTCATCAGCCATCTTAACTTGGAATGGTCCTCCACTGAATGGTCATGGCTTGACCTATAGTACTGACAATTTTTTGCCATTCTGATAAGATTTTCTCTGAGGTTGAGATTAGCCCCATTTGAAACAATTAATTTATCTTGGATAATACATTCTTTTTAATAAATTGCAATTGATCCTTACCAGAAAGACTTCAAATTTCTCCCCATTTTGAAATCTTGTTTGATTTCTTGCCATAATATAGCATACAGGTATTCCTTGACTTATGACCAATATTGAGCACAAAATTTCTGTTCCTAAGCAAGATGGTTGTTAAGTGAGTCATGCCCCATGTTATGACCTTTTTGCCATGGTTCTTAAATGAATGTTGTAAGGCAGGGGTGTCAAACTCAATTTCATTGAGGGATGCATTAGCATTGCAGTTGACCTCAGGGGGCTGGGTGGGTGTGGCCAGGGTGGGTGTGGCCTACTGGGTGGGTGTGGATAGAGTGGGTGTGGCCTACTGGGTGGGCATGGCCAGCTCTACATTATTCACATCAAGGGTGTTTGTGAGGGCCTGGGCAGGAGTGGGACAGATCTGAGGGTCTCTGGCAGAAGGGGGTGGGACCAGGGCAAGTGCCAAGGCATGGTCCACTGGAGGAGCTTCACTGTTCCCCTCAGGTCATGTGGGGGGGGGACTGGATAGTGGTGTGGGCTGCCCGGAGCCCTGGGCAGCAGAGGTCAAATGCCCAGCCTGGCCCTCGAGCACCAAGCCTAGCCCCACTTCCCCTAGGGGGCGCCCAGCTGCACTTACCTCCTCCTCAAGGCTGCTGCTGCTATGCTTGCTCTCCTTAGGTTGCTCATGATGGGTACGAGGGCAAAGTCAGAGGGAGGCCCATCCCCTCTCCATGGGAGGAGATCTGGCTTTGTATCCAAAGCTTCCTTAGCATTAAGATGGGAGACCCCAGGATAGGCCAGGAGGAGGGGGCAAGAGGATGGTGAAAGGGCAGCAGGGCAGGACTAAGGCAGGACTTCCCTCAGACCCTCCCTCTCCTTCTTTCTTGCCTTCTTTCCTAAGTACAGAGTGGTGGGAAAATATTTGAAATGAGGGAGGGAGAAAAACAGGCAAGAAACGCAGCTGAGGAGGTGTCACCCTTTGTGAGGAATGAAGAAATGCACCATCACCTGGAAGTGGCAAGCACATGGCCTTCAACCTACTTCACATATCTGGCTTGGTGGGCTCTGGGGGAGGGGATGCCATGAGCAGCGTGAGAGTCAACGTTACATGCGCAATGTCACCCAGCCCCCAACCTGCCCAGTCTCAGCAGGCAGTGGTGCGCTCTCCTCACAGTGCTGAGAGGCTGAGCCAGGCGGCGCGAATCCAAAAACAAGCACGAGGCCGCCCAGCCCCCAGCCTGCCTGGTTTCAGCAGGCAGTGGGGCACTCTCCTCACAGCACCGAGAGGCTGAACTGGGTGGTGCAAATCCAAAAAGAATCGCAATGCCGCCCAGCTTGCCCGGTTTCGCAGGCAGCGGGGCGCTCTCCTCACAGCGCCGAGAGGTTGAGCCGGACAGTGCAAAGCTCACCAGATTTGCACCTTGCTGCCTGCCGAAACCGGGCAGGTTGGGAGCTGGGCGGCCTCGGACTTCTTTTTGGATTCGCGCCGTCCGGTACTGTGAGGAGAGCACCCCACTGCCTGCCAAAACCCCTCCCCTGGAGCCCATCAAGTCGGATATGTGAAGTAGGCGAGAACCATTTGCTGGCCATTTCCAGGCGATGGTACATTTCTTCATTCCTCACAAAGGGTGACACCTCCCCAGCATGCACCCAGGGGGCGGGGCCAACGCAGCAGGGGCTGGTTCCTTGCTGTTTCCAAATGGCCTTGTGGAGCTACGACTGAATGTGTTTCAGTATAGATGGCCACCACAAAATTGTACATTGGCTCCCGGCCGGCCTGGGCTAGGGCCAAGGCAGCGGGGGCCGTTCCCTCACTCTTTTCAGGATGGCTTCGTGGGCCACATGAAACCACTTTGCAGGCCGCATCCGGCCCCTGGGCCTTGTGTTTAACACGTCTGTAAATGTTGCAATTGTTAAGCAAATCTGGCTTCCCCCATTGATTTTACTTGTCCGAAGCCCCCAACAAGGTTGCAAATAACAATCGTAGGACCCTGGGATGCTGTAATCATTTTAAATAAATACATGCTGATTGCCAAATGTTGAAAGGCTGGGGCTGCTGCAGTGGTCATAAGTGTGAAAAAGGTCATAAGTCACTTTTTCAGTTCCGTTGTAACTTTGAACAGTCATTAAACAAATTGTTGTAAGTTGAGGACTACCTGTAGTTATTTTTATTTAGTGATTGATTATTACTTTCAAATGGAAACTAAGGTATTTCACTGAATGGCTTATCTGACAACCAGATTCTTCCCACAAGAGATTAATTTCTTTGTTTCATCTTCTTAAGCAACCTTTTTTCACTACACTTAACCAACTTTCATGTTTCTCCTGACTTTGTTCCCATCTCTGACTTTCATATACAGAAAAGTGTTCTTATATATAGCCGTTTTGCTTCTTTTGACAAATATTTATTTATCACAAAAAAACTTATACTCTGCACTGCCTTCTACCAGGATTTACCTAATCCTTGTTTGTCTATTTGTCTACATTTAATAAATAAAAGGTTCAAATCTTACAGAAATAGTTTGTCTAGAACAGTGGTTCTCAACCTTTTTAATGCCGCGACCCCCAACCGGTCGTAAGTCGAGGACTACTCAACCGGTCATAAGTTGAGGACTACTCAACTGGTGCAGCACCATTTGCAGAATGGGACTTTTGGCGGGCTCAGCATTCCTATTGGTTTTTGAAAGCCAATAGAATTAGACTCTATTCAAGAGAGTCTATTCTATTGGCTTTCAAAAGTCAATAGAATAAAAGGGAGTAGCACAGCTAAGGAAAAGGGGAAAAAAATGGCGGACTGCATTGTTTGGTGACCCCCGTGAAATGGTTGTTCGACCCCAAATGGGGTCCCGACCCACAGGATGAGTACCACTGGTCTAGAAAGTATTCACACCTTGAGTCAAGCCTGTGTTTATTAGCATTTCATTTTCTTATACTTCTATAAGTGCTCTGTGAGCTTTGTATTTTCCTAAGAAAATATTTCTTTATGTAAGAGCAACAAGGTCTATGTGCAGATATTTTTATATTAAATCAGAGGTTAACATACCCATAAGAATAAGTAAGAATAGTGTAGAAAAGGGGGGAGAAAAGAGGCACAGAAGATTTGAAACTAGGAATAGCATGACTACTGTTTTTATTACTGCTGAGGAATATTCTTGAAAAGAAAAATTGTTTTACAACATTAATAATAGGATTTAACTGACAGCAATTTAGAATAAGGGAAACCTGTTACAGAAAGGTATTTGTCTTCCAGCACTGCTTTTACAGAAATAATTTATGTGCAAATATACATGTAATCATGTATATTTGTCAGCAAAAAAGAAATCTGAACATGTAATCATGAATAAAATATAGTCTAATGCAGAATTCTAAGTACTACAGCTTCAAAAAATAAGAGCAAAAACAGTGGAAATAGTAATTACTCAAGCTGTGAGTGGACATTTTAAAATACTATTTTGAAGGCAGTGTGAAAAATGTGTTATTACCTGCATCATGATCTTGGCAGTTTTCATATTGTTTTTCCCAGTTATATATGGGTTCCGTTTACTTTATATTACTCAAATGTATTTGTACTGTGACATTTTTCATAATGAAATTAAACAGGCTTCCGTAAAGAGAAAAATATGTTAAAGCTTAAGTATATTTTAAATTTTGGTATAATATAATTCAGAGGT